CGTTTGTTCTAATTATAGAATGGAAAATATCAAGTGGAAAGGATGCTGTTCTGGGGTGGTGTAGGTGACTCAGTGCTCACTGTTCACTGCAGAGCAAGCTGTCAGAAAGTGCTACTTTTCTGACTCACTGCATCTTGTAAATGAAGAAAGAAACATGAGCTATATTCATATTATATTCATCAGTGCCATGTTATTTAATTCCAGCAGTGTTTGGAGGATTTGCTCAGCTACTGAGCCCTTTGAAGTGTTAGGCCCTTGCTTAGTAGTAGCAGTAGTAATGCCTAACAGAGATACTGGCATTTTAGATATTACTGTGGGCTTAAGTGCCATGCTTAAGCAATAAGAACAAAAATGGCAAAGGTAGTGTCCTATTATAACAGAAAGGAAATCTTGTTTATGGCTCTATTACATGAGTTCCAAACAGACATGCACATACACAAACATTAAAACGAGTTTAATAGAGGACTTGCCATAAAAATAATTCTAAACTGATCCTGTTCTGAATGCTTTGCTAATTAAACAAAGAACCCAAACTAGTCACCCAGCAAAAAAAAAACATTAAATGTTATTCTTCCTGAGAAATATTTTTTTTCTGAAGAAACTTAGTTGTTATCTCATTTCCTTTTGGCATCAGAAAAAGACTTGTAATTCTGTAATAGTCATTTTCTATGTAATCTAAACTGTTAACATGTATTTTAGGCTTTATATATATATATTAAAAAAAATAGATTGTGACTATTATTTCAATGTTTGCTCCTATCTAGAGGATGTTGAGCAAGACAAGACTCATCACCTACATGAAGTAATTGATAATTCTGAACTTCTTCTGTGGAGCATCTGAGCCCTTTAAAATCAACTTCCAAACTGTTTTGCTAGGTCATAACTAGAATAACAGGGAGCTTTTCCCTCTGATTTCAGAAACTATGAATAATTTTACCATAAAATTATTGTAGATAATATGTGGAATTCCATTTAACTCTTCTTTTGAAAACCAGCTAGTATTTTTTATATTGAGGTTTTAAACAAAGCAGCTTTGTAAACTAATTGTACATTATGTTGAAGAAGTCAATGGCTGAGTTGTTAGTGATATATATTTCTTTAAAATTTTCCCTTGAGCATCCTATCAGCTCTTCTAAATTATTTTTTCCTATAAAAGACTCTATTATTTTTGTCCAAATTTTACAATATTGTCCACAATAGTCAATATGCCGGAAGACCACTTTGGAAGAGGTCTTTGTAACAAATTTGTAAGCCATTTATTTCATTTTGAAAATGGAATGTATAGAAAGAAACTGCAGAACAGATGGAAGAAGTGCTATTATAGATTTACAAACAGTGCAATCAAAGACATAGCTAGTTAGTGCTTGGCAAGAGTTTGGCTGTGTTTTTTATCATTTGAGAGGTATCTTGCTAAGGATGGATGAAGTGCTTTTAAAATTGAGATTAGCACTAGCATATATAAATAATTTTTTTGTTTTGTTGTTTATTGTCCATTATATCCCATTGAAGTCGAGTGGGTTGGTTTGGTAACAGCAACATGTTTAAATACAGACTACTCAGTGAACGGAGCCATTCAGAAGACTCTGCTACTACTGAGGATGGAGCTCTAAGGACTTTTGGTCTCTTTTTTTCTTTATTTTTCCTCTGGTTGCAAACTGAGCTCAACACTTAACATTTCAGAGGCTGATCTTCAGAACCTTCCTTTCTGAACTCTGGATGATTGGATATAAATGTGGGTAATGCAAATGTGTATATGCATATATCCATAGCTATTCATATTTACAATAAAGGTGGGGAGCTGTATTTTATGCTAAGACAAGACTAGCATACTGAAAAGAACCTGAAAGATACTGTAATGTCATTTAAAATTTTTAATCTCACAAAGACAGAATACACATTTTTAAAAGTGCTGTTGAACTTTCAAAACTGATTCTGCTCAATTCCTAGTTAATAACATTCATATACAAGACCTAATTGACAACTGAGGCATATTTTTACTTTCTAGTTTCCAGGTTCTTTAGAGTCACTTTAGAACAATAAATTCAGTTGTATTATATTTTTTTATTAATTATTATCTGTAATAATCATGTGCTGGTTTATCTGTGAATTACCTTGTCTTATGGTGCCAGTCTCCTTTTATCACTCTATTCTCTTTAGTGAAGACATGCAAATGTAATTAACAGTGACTTAGGAGGAATAATTATACAGATCACTTAGGCAGACACACACATACAGAAGCTAAGTCCCAGCAACACTCATTCTAGAGACACAAAGGCGATAATGCATAGCAATAATCAGCAATTTCAGGCTTACTAAGCAAATACAACAGAGAAGTTGATCCCAGTTTCTAACAAATCCAGGGAAATGTTAACAAGTATTTTGATGGTATTGGATCAAAGCAGGGAGAAAATTCTCAAATATGTGAGCAGTTAACTTCTGTGTATTTTGATTGCCAGTGATTCGGTCATGAATCATACAGTAATTTAATGTTTAGAAATAATACACTGTGTGCTATCACCTTAACAAGCATAGCATTCTGTGGTGCTGTGCAGCATTTTGTCAAAGATAAAGTTATGGTTCATTTTTTGGGTATTTTGATCTTGCAATGAAATGTGGTTAACACTGAGGTATGAGAGGATAACAGTATGAATAGGCTTTATTTTCCTTTTTAGCAGTAATTTCAGTTCCTTTTTCTCTGCTGTGCATATTATTATTCTACTGAAAAGAATGACAAAATGGTGGTACCACAGTATGGTGATAGGCTGGAGACTACTAATATAAGGTGTCTGAAGAACTGCCTGAGTTGTGGTAGCCAAACAATTTAAGAAATATGCTGCTGGCCAAGGGCATTTATGGATTTGCAACCTCTGAGTCTGATTTTTTCAAAATGAATTGTGACTATGGTGTAAGTTAAGTGAGTATATAGTTGTGGATGAAAACTGTTCCTATACAATTAGGAAAAAAAGCTGAAATTCAGTTCAGAAAATCTGATTTTTATGTATAGCTCCCAGACCATAGAGCTATGGAAATATTGCACCGATTGTGAAGTACACTTAAATATACATAAGACACAGAGTGGTGTTTTTCTTCTGACTTCTGCTCTGAGCTCTTAACACTTATCTGTAGGTTTACCCCATAACTTGAAATCTTTTCCAATTTGGAATGGAGTTTCTTCATGTAGAAATGAAGAAGTTATGGCAGATTGAGAAGAAATTCACATCAGAAAAGTGGTTTTCCTATTCAGTTTGCCTTTATGGGTTATTTTTACTATGTTAATAACTATAAATTGAAAATGGGCTCAAACTAGTTCTAGATCTTATGCTATTGAAAAGTTTTTATTTTGGTTGTGGCCCTGTTTGGGATGGGGACTAAAGCTGCATTGATGTGCTATTAGGTTTATTTTCTGAGGAAAGAATTTTGATGCTGAGCTTGGCTTTCCCTGCAGTGGATAGAGAAGGCACAAGGTCAAGGAATTCACTCACTTCCTCTCACTTGGGGGTCTTCATGCAGCTCTGCCTGCAGAGCTGTAATATGGGCGCACCTTCACCCTCCATCTTAAATTTTTTTTTTCTTTCCACAAAAAAGTAGAACTATTATTATTTTGCTTGAACAGGAAGTGATACTGTGGACTTCAGAGTTTCTGCATTGTTCACTCTTCTTGATTTCCAGTATATATTTGAGTTAGTTCTTCTTTCATTTCTAGTTTATGAAAGAGCAACTCTGTGTTTGTATAGTGTTCCAAAACACCAGGAATGCAGCATTTGCTGTTGTATGTAACATAAATGATTATTTTTAAAAATTGTAGTGCCTCAAGTGGTTCCTTTTACAGATACATTCTCTTCCCATCTTATGTCCAGTCCCTTCTTAATAAAAACATGCTAGCAAGAGCCTATTCCCTCAGAGAAGAGAAAATAGCAGCAGTTCTGTGAATTTTCCTGTAGTTCTGGAGTTTGGCTGTTCTTGTCAAAGTGTTAAGATATGGTGATAACTGGATAAACCCCTAAGAGATGTTAAAATTATATCAAATGGATGGATGTAAGAGTTTTGTACAACATGTGTTTCCAACATGTCCTACACATCAGCTTTTTTCCTTGTGCATGTCTTCCTTGTAGATGAAACGTTCCTGGTCTCAGCCCTGGTACTGGCAGGTGCTGCTTAGCAGGGAGCTGTGGCACTTCTCTGTGCTGACCCAGAGGCTGGCAGTGCTGGCAGCACAGACAGAGCACGTCACCGTGCTGGTGGGTTCTGCCAGTGATCCTAAGAAAAGGGAAATGGAGGAAAGATGAAAAGAAATCCCGCAGCAGATCTTTACCAAGAGGTGTGCATGGAGAGCCGAGTGTGCACTGAGCACCTTGGCACTGGGAGTGCTGCAGGGTGTGTGTCCCTGCCCCCCTGCTACCTGGGCTTCACATGGAACAGCCTCCCAAGGCAGGGCCGTGGCTCCTGGCACCTCCTGGCACCTTGCTGCAATGATGGCTTGGTGCCACTTCACACCTGTTAAACTCAGGCTGAAGCACTGCCTCTATTGCCTAGGAAAACCTGCAAAACTGTTTACCCAAACAATGGGAGTTGTCCCTCTCCCTGTTCCACTTTTTACATGGAGGAGAAACATTTAAATAATAATAAGTATGTATTTTAAAAACATTAGTAGTATAAATCACATGCATATGCTGACTGGTTCTATTACCTCATTTTCAATATGAACGTCTTAAACAGAATCCCAGAGGATGCATTTTAGCTTTAAACTCTCAGTAATCAAGTAAAAATATGTATTTTACAAGTTTTCACAGATAAATGCTTAGATTGAACTGTAATTTGCATGTTACTACCTGAATGTGTTGCTTCTGAATTTAATGACCTAATTATTATACTAATTGTGTTTGGACTATTTTATCAAAAATTTTCCATCAATATTTTTATCAATATTATATTGATAATTTATCAATATTATATTGAAATTGATAGGACCTTGCTGATATCTAGTACTTTGTTAATGGAGCCTTTCCACTTTATGGTAATAACCACTGACCTGTGAATTCTGAGAGTAAAAGAATACAGGCATTATTACACTTTTGTCAACAGCTTTTGTAAGGGTTTTGGGCTAAATCATCATGTTTGACCATTATACCTCCACTGATTTTAGCTGTGCTGCTTTAAGCTGGGTGGTCTGTGAAGTTTTGGTATTTTTTATCTGAATAAAAACATTGCAGTGATATCTTAAACAGGTGGGTTTTGATTACCCTTCTGGTGATGCTAACAGCCTGCAGGAGGTCAGCTGTCAGAGCAATGGACTGCTCAGTTAGAGGCAGCAGAATTCACTTCCACAGCTGTTTGCAGCTAGCAGGGAGAAAGAAATTATTTCAGCCAGAGGTAATGTGAGGCAAAAGGCTGAGGGCTATCTATACCTCACCATGAGTACTGAATGTATTACTGTGCTGATTGCTCAAAAAAATTCCCTTGCTCGAGTAAAACAATGCAAATTTTTTGAATTAACTTCAGTAGAGTTTGGTTTATTGACCTATGGCTTTGGAAACTTTCTCTGCCTTTTCTAGCTTTTTAGAGATTCTCAAAGGAAAAGTCTATATCTGCAGCAGATATAATATAAATTTTAAATAACTATTACAACACAATTCTCTGTAACTGCAGACATGAATTTTGATGCTAATCTCTGAATATAATGAACTTTTGTCTGTTATTTTGCTCTCAGATTGATGCTTAGTTCCAGTATCCAGTAGGGCAGAAAAATAACTTATCAGCATTCATTAGATACATGAAACTCAGTGGAATATTTCCTGTTGCCTATGAAAGTTGCTTTCTAAACTAGGAAAGGATGTATGAAAGGAGAGAAGGCAAAACAGAATTGAAATTGGATAAGAAGCCTTTCACATAGGGGCCATTAGTTATCAAAAGCTATTCTTACTTGATGGCTCACTGGTATTCTAAATTTAATACTGTATGTGGGTGATCTCATCATTGCTTCTTACTTAATAATTTACCATCTCTTATTTCTGCTGCCTGGGTTTCTTAATTGTAGCAGGTTTTTGGGTGTCTTTGTCTAATTTTTCACCAATAAAAGGAAAAATTGTTTTTCAGGACTATGTTTTCAAATTTAGACTGCTTTTCTTCAAAAATCTTATGAGACAAGCTGGTCTGCTGAGGAAAAACAAAGCGAACAAGAGTCTTTGCTCTTTGCCTCCTTGACATAATGACGGTGCCATGGCAGTTTCTGGTTTACTTCAGAAGTGTTCGTAGTTACAGGTGAGCTGCCACCCCTCCTCTTGTTCTACAATTGAATTTTGTTAAAATTTGTTTTCACCTAGGGTGATTTGATTGATCTGACTCAGAATGGATATTTTTTTTGTTCAGGGTCAGGAGCTCAATGCTTTTTTTTTTTTGCATTCTCTTAAACCAACACCAAAGCAAAATTAGTTTGAACAATTTCAGCTATATAAAACTCAAAATTGTTTAGCATCAAGAACAATTGAAAACTGAAAATCAGATGCCAGTATTGTGTAAAATTTGTGATTTCATTTTCAGATTTAACCCATGATCCACATCTTCTTAATGGCCAAGCCCAAGAATTTTGTGTGTATTTCTAAGGGGTTGAGGGAGGATGTTTTTTCAAAGCTCTAATATCTTGCAGACATTCAGTGAGTAACATCCATGTTTTCTATAACAAATCTAAAATTTTCCTTTAGCAACTAAATAATAACATCCTGACCTCTAAGCACCCCAGTAGAGTACAAGACTTATGGATTGAAAGAGGAAAATATGATCTTATTTTGCATGATATACCTTCAGTAGCAGTAAAATACAATTTCCTGTATTGATCTGGACATGAAAACAAACACCAAGATGGCTTTGTTAACTTAATGTATGAATTTAGTGTGTGAATTCAATTAACAGTCATAAACAAGCAGGGAAATCTTAGCTCACCCTCATTTCTAGGTTATAGCTAGAAAAAGCAAAAGACTTAAAAGGAATCTAATTATTTTTTCCCTTCGCATACTTAAGTCAAAGTAGAGGACTTGTAAACACACCATGAACTTTAGACAGTTCACTGTACGTGAACTTCTGAAATAACATAATTTAATTAAGGATTTTGAAGTTCTGAATTTTGAAGAAGCCTCTGAACCTCAGAAATTAACTATTAAAATCTCCATGTTCCTCCTAACTGTAAAAGTTTGTTTAAATTGAAAATTTCCGCTTCTTAAGTGGAAAAAAAAGCCCCATATCACAAACTTGATCCATCAGCTGTTAAATTGGTGTTGATTCCTCAGGTAAATTCTGTAATTTAAACCAATTATCTTCATTAGATTTTAAGTGTCAAGAACAAATTGGAAATTGCTTAATTGTTGCTACTTTTCACTTGAGAAATACTGTGAAATCGTAGCTATGACTTAAAAAATATGGTATAAGAATTATTTTGACTCCCTGGACTAAAACTGAGATTACAGGATGTAATGTTCTCTTTCAGTCAGTTTTATGGAGGGATGTATAACTTTCTCTTCATGATATTTCACATAGATAAAAGAAATTTTAGTCAGTGTATACTGTGTTTAAAGGACAACTTCAGCTTAAAGGAGCCCAGGTCTAGCACTTTTTTACAGACCTTACTCTAGATTCATTCTTACTCATTAGTCTTCCAAAATATATGTTTGTAAAGAAATGTTTCACTAGAACATGTAAAAAAAATACATTTTTTTAATCAAGAAAAGTTTTCTGTGCTGTTTTAAAGAATTGTTTGGTGTATGTAAATTTTTTATGCAACTGAGCAGAACAAAATGAAACATCAGAACATTTTTGCTTTAAGGGTAAACAAATTTTATATTCCTATACAAATAGTCCATAAAAACAAGAGAAATGAATGATCATACAACTGTCACAGAAAGAAGGGTTTTAGTCTACTCTTAGTACATATGCTCTGTAGAGCATATTTGTTATGTTTCAGTGGCTCCAATGACTTGTATTTGGAGGGATTATTTCAGGCTAAAAATCCCATTTGAAAGATTTTCTTATGTCAGGGATCATTGCCCAGTTAACTTGGTAATGATGGATGCTTGTAGCATACCCAGAAATCCAAGTAGGAGAATTAGAATTTTAGCCTAGTGATTCAAAAAAGAAGAAAAAATAGTTTTGTTATCATTTTTAGCTGGCATGTTTGTGGGTGATTTTAGCAGAACAAAATTTGGTCTAATGCAGAAGTCTTAATTGCAAGGGTAAGGTAGATCTGGAAATTATAACTGTGTGAAGCTGAGAGAAGAGGGAGACAGACTATCACTATTTTTCTTTGTACTATATTCTCAGTAACTTTGTTTCTTAATAGCTCCTTGCAAGAAAGAAGGAAAAAAAAAACAATCCCACAATTACAGCTAGGCTCTCAACCAGTACTATCTGATGTTGCTCTTTCCTTTGGAGCAGGCTTACTCTATTTTATCATAAAGGTCTTTGGTTTTGTCTTATTTCCTTCTCATTGTATTGTCCAGTTTCTGATTTCTCTGAAATGCTGCCTCTTTTCCACTCTATGCTTGAAGAAAGGCTGCCATCCCAGTGTGTTGGTTATAGAGGAGAGGAATCCCCTGGCACAGGGCAAAAGCCCAGCTGCTTTTGTTGAGCTGTAGTCAGAGCCAGTGCATCCCCTGAGTGCACTCAGGAAAAGCAGTGACAGCAGTCACCCATCTCTCCAGCCTGTGAATGGCTGCTCTGGTCAGTGGACTGAAAATGTCTCTGAGGAGAATCTCCGCTCTGATCTTGTCTCTGTTTTTCTGCTGTTAGCTCAGATACCCACCTGAATGTGGCTGCCTGTCGTACTCCTGTGATTGAGCCCCACGGGTTTCTGCAACAAATGCACAGACAAGGTGCAATCAGTAAACCCCTTCACTCCAGCTGGCTGAATTGCTGTTTGCTCTTAGGTTGATAGGTTTTGGGCACAAATCTAAAGTCAGGCTGATTTCAGGGTCCAAGATGCTTTCAAGTATCCTTTCCTCCCTCCTTCTCTTTCATTCTCTCATGTTTTCTTGTACTTGATGTACTTGAAACATGTATCTAGGTATTTCACACTGCTTAGACAGTTATTCTAAAAAAACTTCCATTCAATGCCTAAACTTAGTGATTCTTAATTTCCTCTGCCATTAAATAATTTCCATATTGACAGTTAAAAATTCCTCTAACAATAAATGTACTATTTATTACTCCAGAGCAGTATTTTCTTTGCGTAGGACTTTCAGGATCAGGTTTGAAACAGAAGCATAGGGTTGGTGGCCACAGTCATATAGTTGCAATAGCTCTGAGGTCAGGCAGACAGAAGAGGAATTTTCAAACTGCCTCACCAGTCTTCTTCTCAGTTTGTCTGTACCCCAGTATTTTGCAGTTATTAATGCTTTTCATTTTAGCTAAGGGATTTTATTAGAGCAAATCTTTAGTACTGCCTATGATGAGAATTCTAAATTTCTTCTATTTCTGATCCAATTCCTTTATCAAATACTGTGATACTTCAAAAGGTTATTTTATGAAATTTTTCTGTTGATTATGTTTTCAGTCAAATGGTATAAGGAGATACTGCACATGGGGTCAGATTTTTTGTGTCAATAACTGGGGAAAAAGGAAATCATGGTGTTTATGGATATCAACACTGTTCAGTTTATTATCAGGCAATCTTAATAGTTCATTGTTGAATGTACTTTCATCTTCTAATTTTTGGATATTATTGTGTATGAGAGTCATACTCTGCTTCCTGTTTTTTGCTAAATGTCAGAGCATAACACTGGAAAAAATTGAGGATTCTTTGGTCCTGCTAGGAGATTTCTCAAGTCTTTACTTTCTAAAGATTTGTGGTTAATTGACAGTCTTTGAAACTGAAGCTCTGCAAATTGCAAACTAGAAGCTTGTGTTTCAAACGTGTTAAGTGGAGCTCAACAATCTTTAGCAGAGTAAAAAGCTAGTGATTGAACCACCAATGTGTCCTGGAATCCATGAAAAATATGATGTGTTGCTAAAGAGGTGTCTGACTTAATAATACGTTAAAGATTCTTGAACTGAAATTCATGTAAAAATCGAGCTGAAGAGAGCAGACTGATTCTATTTTCATATTACCACATGAAATTTTGTATGATTAATCTGAGAATCTTTGAAAAGTGAGGCTTTCTGGAAGTATCTATTGAAGCTATTTAAGTGACTCTGAAAACCACAAAGTACTTTTGTAAAAGTATATTGGGGTGTTTCATATTATTTAAAAACAGTTGTTACAATAAAGCAAATGCTACACATCACAGGATGCAAACACAAACGCGACGTGTTTTAGACTTGGGTTTTGCTGCAGGCAGTCCTGCCTACATCCTGTTAGTGTTGTATCTGTTGTCAACTCCTGGCTGACAGAGCAAGACTTCATCCAAAACCTGCTTGTTTAGTTGCACTGAATTTCTCTTCTGACCTGCTGAATAGCCAAGTCACACAGCAGAGATATTTAATGTGTTGCCTTCAGCCTATCCCATTAGGCCGAAGATTTATGCTTAATCCAAACCTCAGATGGTTGAGTGGGTTTTAAAAAATATAGCTCTACAGTCCTTATCTTTGCCTGGTTTTGTTCTTTACATTTTCCTTTGGTTTCTGGTAATCATTCTTCTGCACAGTGTTTGTACCTTTCCCTGCTGCCGAGCAGTGGGGATTCATTCTCCCAGAACCCACTGGACCAGCAGGCACAAAGACAGACACTTTGCAGCTCTGCAAAAATGGAGAGTGAAATACTGTGCTCCTTCAAAATAAAAAAATGGGTAAAATTAAAACAAAAGATGATACGAAGCAGTTACAATAGAGAGAGCGATACAATTGTAAAGTTTCCAGAAATGCAGAGCTAAAAACCTTGTTTAAAGTAGGCTTTTCCAGGGATTACATGAGTGTTAATATGCATGAGAGTGTGTGTCTCTTACCACTTTATGCTATTCATAAAATATCCCAGGCCATCACAGATCTTTAGATCTGGTCTTCCCTACCCAATTTGTTCTAGCAAATGGAAAAGCGAATATGACAGACCAAGGAGATGCTGCTGCTGCCCATCTTTCATCATGTTTGTAATTTAAAATCTTCACAGTAAACGTGTGAAACTATCTTCTGTTCCCTGGACATGTTCCACATTAAATGTAGTACTTCCCTTAACGTTCCTAAGATAAATTATTATTTATTGAGACCCATGTCTTCCAGCTGTGATATTCTTTGCATCAATTTCTTCTTTAGAGATGCTCCTGTGACTATTTAATAATGGGTTATGAGAGAAAATCTCAACTGAAGAGTACCAAAAAATTAATTTCAGTTATTCTATTCTAGTTTAGCCTTCCACTAACCCAACTCATCCAACAAGCCATTGTATAGGGGTGAAATTTAATATCTGATATGAAAATAAGCATTGGTAATCTTATGACAGCACATGAGATTAGGAACAATGAAGAGATTAATTTGATGAGGTTTGTTTATATCTTCTCTCTAAAACCTTTTCTGGGAAATTCTAAAGGTTTTTCGTAATCTGTGATTAAATTCCAATATATCTCCCACTGGGTTCCTACCTTGTATTTTCTGTTTACTTAAATACATGTGTTTTATGTAAGAACTGCATTTCCATTTTTTTTAACCTAAAATATTTCTGTTGAGTTGTCACCGTAGAGTGAAAACTTTGATAACATTGACACTACTTTCACCAGCATAGACAGCTTTAAAATTTAGCTTTAGAAATGTTTTACTTTGCTATGAAGAAATGGTGACTGCTGTGCCACTGAGTGCCAGTGACCTTCCTGTATCCCTGCAGGCTGGAAGCAGGAGCTCAGCAGCATCGGAGTGGCTGAGCTGTCCTGCCTGGGAGCTGCACAAAATCTTTGGTGTGCAACTGTGGAAGTGTTTCCAGACTGCTCTGGAATCTCTCCACTTATGGGTCACCCAACAAGATCCTGCTTCTTGCTCAGCCATGTACAGAAATGGGCAGGCATCCACACCTTCTAAAATAAAGGTAAAACCCCTGTGAGGATAAGATAACAAAAAAACAGGTAATCAAATAGAAGAGGAGAAAATAAGGTGATTTTTTTTTTTTCCTGGTGAGTTATGACTCAGAAAGATACTTGGGTGATCAGTGAAAAAAAGAAAAAAAATTTTTGTCACATTCCATTCCTCTTGAAGTTGATCAAATTTATGTAGAAAATATGATAAGAGCTGCATTATACTTTAAAACAACCAATTAGCTACCTCTCTTGAAAGACCATATTTCATTAGAATTCTAAAATATGCATCTGGTAGTATGTTAAATTTGATTTTTTTCCCCACTTATTTATTTGATGTGAAATAAGAGAAAAAAATAAAATAACAAAAAAGCCCTCCATGGTTTGCTTCTGATTGCTGCTTTCAGTGAGAAAAAGCTGTGGCCAGTAATGCTAAGTGAATGTTTTAAGTCCAGTGAAACAGGCAACAGGATGTGACATTAATTAAATTCATGAATTTTTAAAGAATTAGTTGATTCAAACATCAATTTGCAGAATGACATAGCAAAAGAGTCCAAGAGCTCCTCTTCCCTGAAGGGGAGCATAAACACTCAGTGGAGACTTTGCCTACCAGAGGCAGGGAGGAGGGGAGGGTGAGGCTGGGGTAATGGATGGTGAATGAAGTGTGACTTTCATGTGCTCCTGGCCGCTGGTCCTTCAGCCTTTGAATACAAGACGTTTTTTTCCATGACAAATGTAAAAAAGAAAATTCTTTATTGCCCAGGGTGTTTTAGGTGCCAAAAGGCTTGCAAATGAAAGATGGCAAAGCAAACATGAAAGCGAGCATGAAACTATTAAAGGAATGTCAGTTGATGTATACAAGTACAGAAATAAAAACAAAATTATGTTAATACCTTCCTCATTATTTTTCCTGGAAGTAGACCCTTACTCATCTGTCCTTTCTTTATTATCCTTTAATTAAATGTGTTTAAATAAATAAAAAAGCCCTAAGCATATGTGATGACTAATGATATTACTCTAATGCATTTCTCCAGTGGCAATCACAGCTGAATTGCTGGTACATTTTCAATGAGACCACAGGTCTCATTCACCAGTTCTTGTGAAAAGGGGCTGCAGTGATTCACCATATTGATTAAATGATTTTACAGCAATTTCTAGGCTATAACAGTGTGTATGTCTGTGTTTGTATAGAGGGTGCATACTTTTTGTTTAGCTAAAAAAAAGAAGGAAACATGTATTTTGGAAAGCAAAACTTTGTGTGACGTTTTTCTAATATATAAATGAATATAAATAAATATATAATGAAATGCATAGCAGAGTTTTCATGTATATCAAGGTCAAAATTAATATTGATATTTTGAATTATTAGATCTCTCTCTGCTAAAATTTGTCTTCCTTGGCTTATGATTCTATATAATAAGGTTGTTTAGCTTTGAGGAAAAAAAAATAGTGGAGTAGTCTACCCATTTGGAAAAAATAGACCCAATCTTAACTTTTTGCACCCAGCCTCATAATTCTGAAAAAATAATTATTAGCTACATGTAATATTTATTGTATAAGAGGTACAACATATACTAAGTTTTATCAGCTCTCCACTTCTTATATTCAGATGCTCCATAATGCTCAAGGGGAAAAAACTTTTTTACAAAAGTATAAAAAAATTATATATTTGTATTATATGGAAAAATAAAAAAGGAGAAGGAGCCATTTGAACTACTGTTGAATACTTATTTAAACCGACAGTTTTCCTGGCAGTCTATTAGCATTAGCATGCTTCACAACAGGGAGTTTTATGACTTTATTATGGATTCTCATTTACTGGAATGCAGAGTCAGAATGCAGCTGGTTTGTTCCATATTTAGCAGTTTAACTATTTATTAACTGTCACAGCTCTCACCCTGTCCAAGTATGTAACACCGAGGCCATTCAATAATACCCTGAGAAACCTCCATTACTGAGCATAAGGATCATTAACATAGCACAAGTTTAACTAATAAAGTTGAAAACTACTAATAAATTTACCTGTTTTTATTGTCCATTAGAATCTGCATACATCCTGTGACATTCATTAAAAATTAAGTGGATAGATGCAATCAGAGATAATCATGCATGCCACTTATCCCCGAGAACGTGACATGCTGTTAATTCATAGAAACTGAAAGCCTAATTACTTGTACCACTGTAATTGATGGGCTTTGTATGTACTGCTTCATCATAGTAATTAATGTGAAACAAAATTTCCTCTAATTAATTGGCACTTCTGAAATAAAGGAATACTAGTTAAACATGCAGAATTCTGCATATGTGTGCAGTTGGAAATTTCAGTATTAATTTCTGCAATCTTTCATAAGCATATTTCAGCATAGTGTTTAAGTATACTGAAATTATTTCATTACCTAATTGCCTAATATGTTATTAACTGTGTAGTAAAATTAATTTTTCATTGGTGAATATATTCACTGACAATATATTCTGTGTTTGAGATATGGAATATCTCATGGTGTTAAATCATTCTGTAGTGAGCTAAATACTTTATAAAACACACAGCCAAGGCTACATTAAGATTCAAAAATTAATTTTTCTGCATCTGTGATGTTACTGCCATCTCTTTACTACCTGTTAAGTTCAGTAAAGTTAGGAACGCTCTATGTCTAACTTATGCATTCTCCCATATTCCTGTAAATTCAGCAACATTGGCCAAGTTAATCTGATGGCAGCATGTCTGATAAAATTCTGCTTTCTTAATACTAAAGCCATGCAATAGAATTCAGATTAAATTGCTGGAGTGAGTTCACTCTAAAGTTACGTTGGGTTTTTTTTTCTCCTTTTTACTGTCAGCTTAGTGTAGATATTGGAATATATTTTTTGTATATTTAGCCAAATATTTTCCAGCTTTTTGAGTTATTGTTTCTGGAATAAGTGAACAATTTTATAGACACATCACTGTCTTCCCTGGTAACTATAAGAGGTGAAGAGTCTTGACATTGTGCTGTGTAGCAGGGATTGCATGGGCACTTTTATATCTGTTGTAACAAAACTTTATAAATTAATGGTGGTATTTAAGCATTTGGGCAAGACTGATCAGGCTTCTCTTCTGAATAACTTGGGAAGTGTTCCTCTTGTCCTTTCTCCAACTCTGGCCTACAATGCTGTCATTCAGAAAATGAGTGTTCATGTATTCAGGTTTTACAGTACTCTTGGAGATCCTGCACTTTACAGCTCATAAAACTGACAGTTGGAAATAAAACACCTTGTTGAAATGAAAAGTTAAACAGGTTCATTTTATATCTGTAAAGTTTACTATTTCCTGTATTCAAGCTAGGCCAGATGTCTCTGTACAAGGCATACAGGGTAGACTGAATTAAGGCATCTAGTTTAGGTTTGGTTTGGTTGTTGAACTGCATATTTTTAGTCTTATAAATATGTGCTTTTGATGAGATAGAGTTGCTTCCCTCCCCTTTCTAGTTGCACTATCTAATTTGCTTTGTATCTTTACTATTCCTGCATTCCAGAAAGCACAAAGTTTGCAGTCACTTTTATAGTTTTATCTATTCTTCAGATAGAAAGAATTGACGGTCTATGTACTTAATTGCTGAATAACTCCTAAAGGTAGGTTGGCTGTTTTTATACAAATAAAGGACCCTGACAATCACTGGAGATTTTCAAAGACCTGTCACACACGTTTCGTAAGGGGTTGATGAGTCCCTGTAGTTGAATATTAGAGGACAGTGGTGCAGGATGTTTGATGCTATGGTGTCATTTTCTTGAGTCCCTTTAGAGCCATGGAAGAAGGTTCGAGTAATGTTTAGGGAAAAATTATTTACTCTTTCTACACTTTTTTCCCAGATGAAATAGAGCTGGAGGGCAGCAGCTCGTTCTCTGATACTGCAAAAACCAAACTGAGTATTAAAGGTGGAAAAAAGATGTCTCTAGTCTCAGTGGAGGGGCAGAGGCTTGATTTTTTTTCTTGTTTGTTTATTTGCTTTTTAAGAGTGTAAAAAAAAAATCTGTTTGTATTACCAGAATAATTCACTAAAAAGGAAATGCAGAAATACAATCCCTTCCTGGTTTAATATAAGTTGTAAAAATGACCTGTGCTCACATCCCTCAGAAAACCTGAAAACTTGTATAAGACTATGCTCTAATTCAGTTGACAGTTTCACAGATAATTGAGTAGAAAATAAAAAAGGAGATATATTTTCAGTCATATTTAAAAATCATCTTTGATCTAATGCATTTTATCATTGGAACATATAAGCAGGAAGGTATTGCTGTAGAATTAACTTTATTCAGATTTAACAAATATTGATTTAAAATGTAAAAGATCTGACATTACCCTCTAGAGAAGTTATCAAAAGGATTTAATGTAAAAGCTTCTTAACAGTTACAATGGAAACATCTTTTAGAAGCAATGTTGTAATTCTAGGAAGAGGAAGGATGAAATACCTGTGCAGAGACCTGCTAACATTTTGGTATTTGTTTACTTTCTAAAATATTATATTACTCTAGAGTTTGAGCAAAGATATCATTCAGTTTTGAGAGGGGGAAAAAAGAAAGAAACAATATAGGCTGTACTGGAAAAAAGTTTCCAGTATTTCAGTATTTCACCTTTAAACCATTTATAATAATATAGATTATGATCTTGAGAAGATTTTGAGCAAAAAGAGATGGAACAAAAGATTTTGTAAAGATATTAGTGATTTACCTGTAGTTTGATATGTGTATTCAGATTGCTCTATTAAAAATAAATATATATAAAAATTTTTTTCAAATTAGGTATTTGCAATAAACCAGATTTATTGTTGAGCAATAATAGCAAAGGATAGAATGATCAAATGAAAAGGAAAACCTGAAAATTCCTTTTTCCATCAAACTAATTGCAACAAATGCCAATGGCAAGAGATTTGAGCGGGAAGGAGGGGTGCTCAGTAATTCAAAGGAAGAACTTGGATTTATTTGCTGGTTTTGCTATTGAATCCTCCTCTAACCAATAGCAGGTAATTCTCCATGTCCCAATTTCCCTAATTTTGTTCCCATTTCCGTGTTAACAAACCACAATTATTCTGTTTGCCTCTTTCTGTTTTTTTTCATTTTCTAGGTTACAAGCTTCTGTGCAGAGGGAATATACTCCATGAATATGATTGGTTTAATGGAACTTGGGAGTTTGCGAGGGCTATTCTTATACCAACAAATAATTATAGTTTCAATGATCTTTGACAAAAATTTACCAAAATATAATGCTTTAAATTTCACTATAATTAATTTTACTCCAGTGTTTCTGTGAAAGGAACCACACAATAAGCGATTAACTAAGACATTTAGCACTGAATTACTTTTTCATGGCTCCTTGCTTCCATTAGAGAAAAAAAATGTGCATTTTCTTTGGCTTCTTTTCTCTGGATTCAAAATGGATAAACTGTATTGATAATTCATCATAGCTTGAGTGATGGGTTATCACTGCATGGTCATTAGCCTTTAGTAACTACAGTGGTAATGCTAAACTTAAGATCCTTCTATTTTGTTCCTAGAATGCCTTTCTTACACAATCCAGTTTAAAAATATGTTTATTTTGTCCAAACAGTGAGCATTTTAGCCAGAGAGCAGAAAGTTTTTTGAAATTATTATATCACTCCTACATACCGCTTGAATGCCTCAGTAAGTCAGATTCAGGCTTCCTCTGTTGGCACTACATTCCGTTTGCTGTTATCTCTGAAAAATAATGTTATTTAGGAATAGAATTTCTTGATGAAAGCAGACTCAGCACTTTCTGCTAAGCCCACAATCTGACCAAAAAATATTTTATTTCCACTGTAGCTCAAACTAATTCTAGACACTGCGATGTTGGAAATGAGCATATCTCTAAAAATGACCATGTCTCTAAAAGTACTATACATTTGTGTGAAAAATCTTTTAAATGGGATTTTCTAATCTTGCAGCCTTAATCAGAGATTTGACAGCAGTAAAACTCTTCCAGCTACTCTTAAAGATGCTAAATTGCAGGTAGATCCAGCAGATGAAAGTACCAACATTAACCTGATAAATATACATTTTAACATAGAAAGGGAAAAACTTTCCTGGAACTGAAACAAAAGCAAAATTTCTATGCTATTATGACTGAAAATCTGAAAAAAGTAGTTGCTTTGAAGAACATTAGATGTTCACAAGTATTTCTGCTCTTTCCTTCCTGCATTAGGACCCTGGAAATTATTCTTTCTTGCCCTACATTCCAGCCTGGATGGACTCAGAAGTTAAGAACCACACCGTAAAGATCTATTTCACCAGCATCTCACCGTAAAGATCTATTTCACCAGCATCTCTGTCCCCTCATTACAGTAAGGTATCTAGCTTTTTTCTTTCCTTGAAAAGAAAAAAAGAGCAGTGTATTATTCCTATGTAGCAAATGGCTGGATTTTCTCTTCTGCTGTCAAAGCCTGCCCCAGGCTCTCCAAGTGTACCCTGGGACAAAATTTATTTAAGGTTCCTAGTCATTGGTTTAATACAGCAGAGTGCCAAACATTCCTTCCTGTTTTCACAGCTCTCTTCTGTCATCTTCCTGTCTCAGAGCTCTGCTTGGAGACCAGTTGATGAGATCCATACCTCTGTACCAAGCTGTGTGACAAAAGCTGTGGGTCAAGTACTGCCCAAGTAAGAGTAATTTGTTTACATTTACTTTGGATGTCACTCTCCCTTGATAAGAATAACTTATATGTATATGGGTATATGTACAAAACCACTGATTATATTCTAATTTCTGTCCCTTTGCTGAAAGTTGGTATCTTCAAAGCTGAGATTCTCAACAAGTAATGAGAACTCTCATCCTGCAGTGCCATTATTCCACATTATTTATCTTATTTTTTTCTAGAATATTAATCTACACAACTAACAATTTTTTTCTCATGTAAGCTTCTGAAGACATTTTTTAAAATTTATAGCAGGCTTTAAACTGTAACCTAGGGGATTTTATTTTCTCTTAATTGTCATTGGTAATTGTATATGTGTAGACCACTATCCGGTCTAGCTACAGCTGTAGATGCATGAAGAGGTGTAATTCAAAGGGAGTAATATGATTAGGAAGAATTTAGCTAAGGATACAGTTTCTTAAATATTTATAGGGTGAAACTCATATGTCAGCATATTTTCATATACATTCTTCTGTAATCATGAATTGGTAAATATCTAAACTGTCTTCCTCAAAAAGATCATAAAATTTTGATCTTGATCAAAATGAGATCTAAAGAGCAATGAATGAGGAGCAGAATCAGAAGCAGATTTTTCACCTTGAAGGAATAAGCTTGAATCTGTATTAAGAAGCTGCCCATGCACTTTGTTGATTACCAGCAGTAGCATGGCTCTGTCATATGCAAATGCAGGAGATTTTGCTTGATAAGGGTTTGACCTGATTAGGATGCAGAAAAACCCAGCAGCAACACAGGAGTCATCAGCACGAGGTACAGCTGGAATGAAAAATCAGGCTGGCATTGGAGAGGGCATAATACAAGGTTGCTCATCCCTGCCAAGGGCCCCTGCACTTGGATTGGCCATGGAGCAGAGCAAATTGTGGAGAGTGCTGTGCACAGAGCCAGTCAGGAGATAAGCTCCATGCTGATGGAGAGTTTTACAGCTTCTTACTGCCTCAGTCTCAATGGCATGGGTATTTCCCTCTGTGAGCTGGTGAAATAAGGCTCTGTCTTTGGAACAATTGTCCAACAGAGCAAGGTAAAAATTGAGCTTAAAGAGTTTTTATGGAAAGTATTCTAGGACTGAGATATATAGAATTTTGCTTAGATTTATTATTTACCTTGATTTGCATATTGGACCTTATCTGAAATTTCACTTCCATACCTTGTAGACCTAAAACTCCATGAAGTCCATTCTAACCTTAATCCAACTGGGAAAAGCTGTGAGGCTAAACCTGAGGACTTTAAACAATATTGACATATGAAAACAAAAAAACCCAAAAAACCAAAAAAAACACCCCAAAACAAAACAAAAAAACCAAACAAAAAAAAATTACCATAACCCCCCCCCAAAAAACCCAATAAAAACCAAAACCAAACAAACGCAAAAAAATCACCTCAGAAATGCAGTATTGGTCTGACCTGAAATACCGATATTAATGCACTTTTATGAAAGGAACACTAAAGAGGAATCCATCAAAAGGATTCCAGAAGAAAGGTGTTGCACATGGAATAGTAATACATAATTTGCAAGTAAGAACCTCAAATAAGTTAAAATATGTTTTTATGTTCAACAGAAAATCAGAGATGAGAAAATAATTTGCCCCATTGGGCAATATTGATGAGTTAGAAGGTTATCAAAAAAGGTTAGGGTTAGGGTTAGGGTTAGGATTCAAATCAACTCTGGAGACAGGATTTATAATGTGTCCTGTTTTAATTTTTCTTTAAAGTATCTTTTCTTTGTAGTCTGCAATGTCTGATTTAAAATGCAAACAAGATTCAGTTATCAAGGGGCAAATCTCCTGAATGTCTGTAGTGCCCACACAGAGCAGGCATACCTGTTCTCAGGTGACCACCAGTTATTTTTTTGTAAAGACATAGTGTGAAAATAATAAAAAATGAACCACCTAAAAGGCCCCAAAGTATTAGCATTTACATCTGGCCTTGTGGCTGCAGTGGCCACATGAACAGTGAGGGTCATGTATTTGCCTGAGTGGAGGTGAAGGAATGTCTATGAATAATGACATTTTTGCAATAAGAAAGGAAAATAAAACAATTGCAGACAATAAGAAGTCCATTATGAAAATAACTACAGGAAAACAGGACTGTTGTGACTTCTGGGAAGTTCCAAGTTCTACAAACTTCACTGTCATGGTTTTCTGCTTCCAAAGAATATACAGGGCACTGAATTTTGGTAGCATTTTGTTTTTTAATCTGATAGCTACTGCTTCATTACAATAAAATTAAAAATAAAAAGCAAAAACCCATATAAACATTAAAAAAAAGTTTTTCTTAGTTTCAATGCAAGATTGGATTTGTTAGGGTAAATGGCAGCATTTCAGGATATGTTTATTTTGTTTCACATCATTGAGATTTATCCTAGTTAAAAGTCAAAATAATCTGTTAATAGCACCTAATAATCCTGTTATTTTCCACCACAAACTCACACAGAGCTTGATATTAAAGGAAATATTTCTGCAACAACTCAGTAGGAAACAGTCACAGCCTACCTTAGAGTTCCAGACTTGCAGAGAGTAAAGCACTGAGTACACAGTCTGTTCCTGTTTCAAATGTGTTCTTGGGGAATTAATTAGAAAGTACATTCCATGTCCAATAATGAAAAAAATATTGCAACTCCAGAGCTCCTATCATAGTTTGAAGCCACATTAAATTCTTGGCTTTTGTTGTCTTTCCAAGGCAAAGCACTCTTGTATTTTTGCCAGTAAAACCAGAGTAACAGAGATTCTTTACCATTTTTTTAAATTGTAACCAGAACAAACTATTGCTCTGTGATGTTGTATGAATTCTACTGATATTAAGCCTGATATCAGCACTCACCAGTGAGAATCATTACATCAGCTCAACTGGGACCAGGATAAAGCCCTGAGGGCATCTTTGGATCTAGCAAAATACAATGAAACATACATCTACACCTGAAGAGCTCCCAGAAATATTTCTGGAGTTCCTTTAATATGGATCAGTCTCTTCAGTATTAATGAAGAGAATAGAAAACCAGGAGAAGTTATTGTTTTTGTGCTGCATGCTTTTTTCCATTTAATTTTATATTAATGTCTGTGATGGTGACTGAATAAAACACAGTAGAGGCAATCTGTGTTTTTCTTCAGTAAATTTTGTAATGGTGGCACATTTTTCAGTGTCATTCAATGAAATTACTGCTTCAAAGTAATATTTTTTGCATGTAATGGTGGTGCTTACAAGGTTTAAAAAACCAAAAAAGACCCAAAAAATCTAAACCAGCCAACCAGAGAACTAGATAAAGAAAACCCCAGCAGTGGGGTTACAAATAGATACCAAATCTATTACTTTTCTACTTTTCTTCTTGTATAAATAATGCAAATAGACTGATAACCTAAAATGTTGCTCCCAGAAATTCTTGTTGAGAGCAAGGAAATATGTTGTACCTACTGTGAACTTGTCTATAACCTCTGCAAACTCAGGGTTAGGGCACAAGGATCATCTCACTGTTTTGGTCCACTCACACTCTAATATTGAGAAGCTAATGCATAATCTGCACTTTCAAAGAGCTACAGACAGACCAGTTTTGATAGCAGACTGTGTTGGAAATATCTTCCTTGCTTATATTAAATAGGGTCTAATTTAAACTTTATGTTGAATGTTGTTGAATATATATGTTTGAAAATAATATTACTTTTCACTTAGTTTTAAATTGAACCAATTTTTGGTTTTGTTCTCCTACTGTTGGATGTTTTAAGTACTTAGCCTGTTGGTACTATGGGAGTGGGAAATACAACACAAAGGGCTTTTTTGTTGTGCTGCTTTCTGCCTTTCCAGGCAGTCTGCCTTTTGCATGAAGATGGCTCCAGTTTCCTTGGCAATATTCTTAAGAGAACTCTTTCCCTCAGGAACAGGAGAGCATTTAAACACATTTTTTGCCAACTCACATTTTGCAGATGGGACATTTACCTAAGGTAAATAAAGTCGGGATTTGGCCTACAGGGGAGAAGAGAAAAAGAACTGTGCAGCTGGGTGGGTTCTGTGACGAGGTTGGTTCTGTTTCTGGAAGCACTCTGTGTGTGGCTGAGCCTTGCAGAGCCTTGCAGCACTGCCAGGTGGCTCTGGAGAAGCACAAGTCACTCCTTCCATCCTTCTGGAGCAGGTGAAGAGAGGCCATGGTCAGATGTCCCCACTCCCATGCCTGTGGGACTTCTGTGCAGGTGTCTTGTTGAGGAAAGATGAAGATCCTGCTTCTTCCCATGGATCCCAAATGGACACAACGGAGAAATCCTGGCTCAGTTTCTGGCCAGTTCAAAGGTGAAGATGTCAGCGCTGAAGTCTGAAGCACATTGTAAAGGAAGAATTGCTTCAAAATAAGTGGAAGGGACTGCACAGCTGATTTCTCACACTTCCTTCACATGTAGCCTATAGTGGGCAAAATGTACTTTAATTTTAGCTGTGACGTGCAACCTCAATACAGACCCAGAATTCTGGGAAGTATTTTTGGCGAGTGCTGCACCGTATCGGTTTCACACATGCACTTGCTTTGTTGCAGTGTTCGCAAAATAGATCTGGATCTTGCCTGGGATAATCAATCTGTTTAACTCTTCATCAGCTATGGTTGTAAAATTATGGGTTATTGGTAATTTTATGTGCCTATTGTCTCATAAAATTTACAGATTTGACACATATGTGCTGGATGCTTGTACCTTGCTTTTTCTCTTTGAGGCATTGAAAGAATTTAATGTAATAGTAATTTTGGGCTTTGGTCAAGGAATTAATTTCTAAAATTGTGGATTGAATATAAATCATGGTGCTATTCTTTCTTATAACCCCAAAAACCTGATCTCTTTCCTCAAATCTGCACTAATCACATGTTAACTATACTTAAAAATTAGTAATAAAGAGTTTGGCAAACTAATTCTCTGCAATAAACTAGAGATAGGTCCACATGTTATCATCTGTCATTTATGCAGAAAGCAAAAACCATATGGCAGTAGAATAAAATTCCAGGATATAAAACCTAATGAAATATGTTTACTATATTTAATTATCCAGTGATTCAGCAATGGTTTGCGTTGACTTTGGTCTGAGCCTGACAGGGAAAAACATTACATATTGAAATAGAAATTATAATTATTATTACCATGATAGATATTGATCTATTTTCAGGTCTTGTAGATAGTGAATCATATTTGACTTTTTTTGAATGTAGATAATTGTACTATCCATATATTTATATATTTTTGTTGTATTTTTTTCAATTTATATTTAGTCCATCACAATATGAAGGAAATTTTGAATATCAAAACATTGCTGAAGAAAAGAAAAAAACTCAGAAAATATAAAATTAGGATGTTGTTGTTGTATAGACTGGACCAATTGTTATTTTATTTACTACTGTTTCTTAGTTCAGACTGGGTCAGTTGGTGGTTTTTTGCCTTTGGACAGTTGACTGCAGGAGTTCTGCATCATTTGAATTAGAGTTACATGATTATAATAATTGGAAGCATACATTAGGTATGGAGACTACATACATTTAGAAAAAGGAAACAAAAGTAACTTCACAAGATACAGATGAGAGGAATTCTCTAAATTTCCTATGATGGAAATTTTTTTTTCCCTTTCCTATAACAGTGTCGGAAAAATAAATAAATAAGGTGTAGCAGAAAACAATTGAAGTTTAATTATTTGCTGGATCATATGTCAGAAAACATAGAAATGTGCTTTGTAATTTTTGGTTGGATTTTTCTAGCACTTAAGCCAAAATGAACGTTCCCATTTTCTTCAGTGGAAACTAGAACAAGCCAGGAATTTTAGGTTTATTAAACACCCTCAGGAAAAAAAAAAAAAAATGAGGATGAGGCATCAGGTACCATCTGTGCTATTCAACACAGAGAAGTAATATGAGATAAAGATCCAGGGATGAGAATATTTTAATCTATGTAGTTAGTATAAACACTATTGGAAGCATGCAGTCAAGTGCTTCACAGCTTGGAAATGGCAAAACAAAAGCTGCAACGTTAAAATTTCCCCATTTTTTGCCTGTTTTGTGTGCCTACATAGTAATGGTATCCCTATTTTTGTAATTACTTACAATTTCCCCAAACAAGACACCTAACATGATCAGTTTTCTATTATATGACTGAGATATAAAGATAGATGAGAGATCTGAGGAACCAGGAACTCAGAGATCCTCACAGGCTTTCATTTTAATTTAAAAGATGGAATTTTTTAATCTCCAAACCTTAATTCTGAAAGCATATTTTATATTAGTAACTGCCTTATTGTTCAAAACTATATCTAGAAAAGGTGCTTCAAAGTTAAAAATATGATTATTTTCATTAGAGTTTGCATATTTGTGAACTGTCAATCTGATGTTGCAGAATTTTCTTTGATGGACTAGATTATTTGAAATATTGTAAAATATTTCTATTTAATCTTACTACCTATGTGGTTCTAGTATTGAAATAGTAATAATATATTCTTGTGCCAATATTAATATCTTTATGTGAGTAACTGAGTAAAGTTAATATCTTTATCTGAGAGAAGCATCTGAGATAAAAAACACAGAAGTTTTTGGTGTCACACAAAAATTTAAAAATTAAGTCCTTGAAGTTGATAAATAAAATCATACTCCCCGAAAACCCAGCTGTCAAGAAAAAGAAACTGTATTTCTAGCAAACTAATTCACTTCAATATTTTTCTCCTATGGAAATAGTATGATACAAAATGTTGGTTAAAAAGGGGTTGTTCTCATGTGAATAATGTTTCTGTTTTTCAAATATCATCATGAACTGATTTTTGAATCTAGAACTTCAACTTAGCACAGCCTCTAAGTAATCGACATTTTCTTGCCTGGAGATGAATGTTGAATCACAAGTCAAGTATGGTGACCTTCTGACTTCTGTGACTAGAATCGCCTTTGACACTTTTCTTAGGGAACCAGTTCCCCCATTTTATTATTTAAAAGAACTATAAATGGTCTTGGAAAAAAAAAATCACTCGCTTGTTTTGGCATTATTTCTGACTTAGAATTGAGCTGAGAGCAGAGATGTGTTTTGTTCAAACACATCTTGGCAAAGTCCTCATTTTCAAGATTTTTGATAATTCATGGAAGATGTCTCTTAAATAAATGGCAATTTTCATACTATAATGTTAATTAAGAAGCACACAATACAACTGAGGTTACTGACTATGTTAGCTAAAGCAGCATAGAGAAACCTTCATTTGAGATGACTGCGTGATATAGAAGAAAGTCTCTTTGTTGGTCAGTGAACATAACCAGTAGCAACAGTTTATGCTATTTTTATTGACTGATTTATGACAGCAACATGAAAATATCCAAAGAGGGTTGTGAGGTAATTAAAGATAGGAACAACTTTGCCATAGAAATTATATTGTAACATAGCTAAATAGCAGAAAGATTGATTGTTTTGTAACTTGATTTGATAGATTATTTTTGATCTTATTTAAGTTTTTTGTAAATCCATTTTCTCTGGTACAGTTATCAAAGAGAGAAAATTGAACTTGACTAAACTTCAGATGAAAAGTTCACTGGGACTTATCCTTATTTTGAACACCTTCTTACAATAGAAGGTAATTCTTGGAAACTAATAGATCAGTTCTGAAACTTTATCATGATAACTTGGAGCATTATCTGACCCTTAATCCATAGCAAATTCTTTTTCCTTCCCTTGTCTCCGTAAGTTTTCACACTGAGATTATACCTTCAAGGTCGACTTGAAAACCTACTCCAGTGTGAAACCTGGTCCTCTGATGTCAGGAGGTGTTACAATGAGCTCATGGGCATTCTGTTTCCCCTTCCCCAGGACCCTGTGACTCTGATCAAGATAACCCTGGACCCTCCTTCCTGCCCCAACGGGGTTGGCAGAGAGCCAGAGAAACCCACCCTGTCCAAAGCCTAGAAAAACCCCTGACATTTCCTGTTCGTTCTCTTTTGCCCTGCTCTCTCCTTGGACATCACAGAATAAAGAGAGCTGCAGCAACATATCTCGGGGTAAGAGCCTCTTTTGGAAATCTTTGCCTTCTCCTGATATTCCTCCCCTCAAAGCCTCGGATCTCTGGGCTAGCCTGATAATTCAGGGGGCTGGGGTCAGGGGGGAACGTCAAGGAGGGAAATATGCACATGTGAAGGGTTTGTAGAGAGCTCCATTCTGCAGATTCTTCTCAGGTGGTTCAACAAAATACAAGTTCTAGGCTGTTACTATAGCACAGACTATAAGGAGGCTTTTAATGATGAAATTACTTCGATATACAATCATCTTTGTGTGCAATTTTTAGAACAAAGAGATAAGAAAGGAATAATAATAAATTTGAGACAGAGATTTCATTAAATGCTCACAATTGCATCATACAGAATAAAATAATTTCATCTTATCTAGTTTGCTTGAAAGACTAGGAAGTTAAAATAACTTGGAAAGATCTTTTAAAATTGCACGTAAAATTACCATACTAAGAAAAGTAAGGTTTCAAACTTTACTACTCAACAAGGGCCAGTTCAGGTGAACTATGAAGATTGAAGTAACCTTGGAGTATGTAGAGCAGGAAGCCAGAGCTGGAAGGTCAACTGCAAAAGAAAAAATCCATACGAAGATGACAGTGAAGCAAAGGTAGAAAGTCACTGTCCATCGATTGACCGCCAGCCTGTTCCTCAGTCAGTGGAATAACTCATTTGATCAACTACTACAATTCACATGATAATTAAAATAGCACCTCTGGTCTCTTTCTGAGAAGACATGCTGTCTGAGAAGACAAAAAGATCCTAGGATCTCTGAGAAATGGTATTTTCATTTGGTGAGAACTTGTGCTGCCAAGAAACAGGAGCGGGGAAGATCCAGGCCAAATTTATTCAAAGTTTAGGTCCCTATCAATGTCTGTGATTTGAATAACCTTCTTACAGAACATAACAATTTTGTTTACTCAGATGACCCTCCACTACTGCAAATACTTAGATCCCTGATAAGAAGCAGGGCTATAATACATAGATCTTTCTTTGGGACTTTTAATTCCATAGAGATTTAATTTTATTTTACCTGATTTCCCACATGAACTACTTCAATGTTCTAAGTCATCAGGGAACTTTTGTTTCAGAACTGATCTGTTAGCCTCTAAGAATTTCCTTCTATTGTGAGAAGATATTCCAGGTAAGAATGATCCAATTAATTTTTCATCTAAAGCTTGGCAATCTCCAGTTCTTACAGGATATTATCCAGATTTAGCAGTATCCTAACTAATAAGAAGGCAAAGGAAGTTATGCTGGTGGTTAGGCTAGAACAAGCTGCTAATACCAGTATAAGTATTTAGTGAATGTCTGTGGAATATAAATATTTTCCGTTATCTGATCAGAATAAGTAAATAATTTTAATCTGAAGACACCACTCTGGCAACTGAGAAAAATATTGCATTTGGTATTTTGGAGTCAACATAGACAAAAACCCCTTTTGAATGCCCTCCTCCTCTAAGGTTTCTTGCTTCTGGCTGCTGGTTAGAAGGAACCATTGCTTCTTGTAAAGTAGAGGGTGGGTCCATTTGTCTGTGGTATTGCAACCTTTACTTTTTCTTCCCATCATAAAACCACTGTGAAAGCAAAGTAAAAAAGTTTTCCTTGCAATGAGCTACACAGCTTTTATTTTGTTAGCAAGTTGTCCACTACTCAGCTCAGACAGCATAATGCTGTAATAATTTAAAACTGTATTCTACAGCTATTCCTGTGGCTTGTTTTGATATGCCACATTAAGATTTAATTTATGGAAGGATGTATAGGTATATAGGCTTGTTTTCTTCAGTTTGTGTCTGGGAAAAAAAGATAACAAAAAGATGGTTGGAAGTAGGAAAAAAACAATCCTCACGTGTGCTGGATTTTTATTCTTATCTATGTCTGCACCCCAAATTTAGTAATACCAAATTCTTTATACAAGCCTATTGAAATGTCCCTTTCCTCTCTTTCATGTTTATAGGTATGCTCAAATGTATACATGAAAAATAATGCAATCACAGAAAAACATGAACAAGTTTTCCAAACTTTCAGCTTTTAACAGCAAGGAGAACTATTCACTTCTTTTAATCGTTACTTTTTCTCCATTTCTTTTATTTAAAAAACTTTTGCTGCACTTTATTTTCCTTTCATTTGCATACTTCAGCCTTTTAGGTTTTTTTTCTCACAGCCTCTTCATCCAATTGGTATATGACTTGCCTACCCTTTAAAAGCAGAATGCCAAAATGTAACAGTTTTATTCCCATCTATTTTTTCACAGCTCTTTTTGAAGACACTGGCCCCAATTTACTACAGTGTGTAGGCTGTTATGCCTATTCAGCTAAAAACTTGGGAATTAACATAGGCATTAAATAATGTCTCTGTATTTTGTATCTGGCTGGGTGTAGGCAGCAGAAAGGTGAACAGTTCCTGTTTGCATAGTGCTTTTTGTATTTGCATAATAGTAATATAAAAAATGACAGTAAGAGCAAAACCTGTTGGTTTATGAAATAAACCTAAATATTCTAAAAATATAGTATGCCAAGGCATAACCTACCATCTGTAGGCTTTTTCAGTCTAGCTGCTAGTCTAGTCTGAGCACTACAGAGCTGGGTTGCATTGACACCCATGGCTTGAAACAGCTTCTTTGTATATTATGACTTTCAGAGTTGTGATGACTATCAATTGATTACATTCTGCTTGCTCAATATGAGTATTGTGCTCAGGAATAAATAATTCATGCAAATGGTACCATCAGGAGGAACCAATACTACAATTTTTTACTTGTGGGAATGACTTGTTTTGCAAGTTGCCTCAAAGTGTGTATTTATTTGTACACAAATGTTTACACATCAAAAGACACAGTGAGAAACATATTTCTGTGTAAGGAAAGCCTCTACCAAAATGAATGAAATCCAGTCTTGACATTTCTGACAGTCAGAACAGGATTCAATTCTATCACATTTTTATCCCATAATGACCTGCCATCATTGTTCTTCCAAGACTGACAACAGAAATGGTCCCCTTTGAAAAAATGGCTTGAATATGTGAAGTCCCTATTTAGACATCCCATGCACCCCTGAGACATTTGAAATTTGTGATTTCTTGTCACAGACATTTTAAAGGTAGCAAACTCTCCACTGCAGAGTGTTGACTCTGCCAATAGCACCATGGTAAGGAAATATTAAGTTTTTAAATTATACTTTAAGGCTTAATTATGTACTTGGCATGTGAAATCTATGGTGAAGGTGAAGCAGGGAGGGAGATGAGTGATTTTCTCTTGATATCCATGCTACAATCTACTGCTACTACAGAATTTCAGTAAAATTATTTGACAATAAAGAAGGCTAATGAATGTTCTAGAATCCACATAGCTAAAATTAATATTATGTCAGGTACTTCCTAGGACTTGGATTATTAATAACATTCTAAGTGACAATAACTTTCTAAAAAAACTTTTTGTTCTCAGGGTCACTCAGAACTCATTTTTATAATAAATTTTTTTTAATAAGAGCAAAACTTCAGTTAATGAAATCTAAGCTAAGCGATGAAGAAATTTCATAATTATCTTTGTCTCAGATGCCAACTTTTTCTA